ACGCCCTGCCCACGCCCGCCGCTTCCCGGGCCACGGCACGCGCGCCTGCACCACCCGGCCGCGGGGCGCGGAAGACCTGAGGCCTGGCTGGCTCTCCCCAAGGGAACGGGCCTCTCCCAGGGCCGCCGCCTGTCGCTGGGCACGCCGAGGTCGGCCTGTCCCTGGGCTTTCTGTGTGCAATGCCGCCGCCTGGTGCCGACTGGGGCCGCTCAGCTCAGCCGTCGCGCAGACGCGGGACCGGTCAGCCGTGCTGAGGCTCAGCGGTCGGGACGCGCACCGAGGGATCCGGGGCCCTGTGGTGTACTCGGCCAGAACCGTGGGGCACGGCGCCCTCTGGTGGGTGTCGGAGTCAAGTGAGGGACGGTCCCCCTTCGTCTCCTGCCTTGGAAAGTGGGGACTCCCTGAAGGCCGCGGGTACTTAAAGGAGTGCAGGCGTTTATATTAACATACTCAGTTTCTGGACGGGGACCAGCAAGAGGTTCATGATCACGTCACTGGACTCGATCGACTACGGTTTGAGTCCCAGACTGGTGACTTCAAACGCACTGCAGCGCAGGCCCTCACCCCTACCCTCCCCCACGGCCCCGCCCCCGCCCTGGGGGAGTGGTTTCTCGCTTTCAGTCTCTCTCTCTCTCCATAGAGAACACCCTGCCCTATGGCAAAAATCTCTAAAACAGTGACTAGATGGGTTAAAGTGTAAAGATAAGCAAGCCTAAGGCCTGTCTCAGTCCCTGTGGATGCTGAAAACTGCACCCTGAGGGGACCAGCAGGTGGTGTGGTAGTTGAGGTGCTGGCCACGCAGTTCCTGTCCCAGACCCAGCGACTGGAACATCATGCTAGGCATGTGTGTGCATGCCCTGGATCCCAGGAGGAGAGTGGAGGGGACAGGACTGTGGTGTGGCTATCCCCCCAGGGAGCGAGCTCTCCTGTCTCTGGCTAGCAGCGGAGGGGCCAGCAGTTACTGTAATGGCTATGTCGCTGGACTCCCATTTAACCAACTGCTGTTCGAGTCCTGGACCCAGTGGCTTAAACTCACACTGGACGTGTGTGCGTGCATGCGTGCCCAAGATCCTGAGAGGAGAATGGAGGAGAAGGGATTGCGGTGTGGGCGTCCCCCTGGAGGGTGATTTCTCACTTTCTGTCTCTCTGTCTTCCTGGCGAGCGCACGCGCCCTATAGAAAAAAACCTCTCAAAAAAGAAAAAAATTCAGCCATGGAAATGTGAGACAAAGAGCCCATTTCTTCGATGAACACCGCTGGAAGAGGAGGAGGCGAGAGAAAGCCTATGCGCGGGGAAGACTTGGGGAGCGTGTTAACCGGTCACAGGGTGTGGAGCTCACTTGGCTTCTGCTTCCTAAAAACAGACGGCACTGATGTTGGACATTATGAAACCACCAGGACTCAGGACGCTGTCTCCCTGCTTGCTGTTACAAAAGCGCCGTCCCTTTGTTGATGTGGCAATAGTAGTGCAGCTATTTTATTGAATATTCTTATCTCTTAGAGACACATACTGAAATGTTTTGTAATTCTTAGGCTTCAGTTTTGTCCAGGAAAAAAATCCTTATGGAAAAATCTGGTAGAGGTTAGAAACTTACAAAAAATTACAGAGCTTTTGTCTTTTTTTTTTTTTTTTTTTTGAGAGGTTTTTGCTATAGCACGTGTGGGCTCTCCAGAGAAACAGAGAGACAGAAAACAAGAAATCACCCCCCCCCGGGGGGGGATGGCCATGCCCCAATCCCTTCTCCTCCATTCTCCTCTCGGGATCTTGGGCACGCACACACACGTGCCCAGCGTGAGTTTAAGCCACTGGGTCTGGGACTCGAACTGCGGTCGACTACATGGGAGTCCAGCAACATGGCCATTACACCAATTGCTGGTCCTGAGCTCTTGTGTTTCAAGCTTTTCGCAAGGTCTGTTAGTCGAACTGGAGGACTGCAGGTACCAAGCAGACCTGGGGTGTGTCTGTTTCATGTCATGTGGGGGAAAGACCTGTCCGGCCACCTTAGAAATGGACAATGGCTTCCAGTTGCTCTGGCGGCTGGCAAGCAGAACAAGACTAGGTCAAGGGAGGGCCGGGCCTGGCTGCTCACACGCATGCGCTCACTGAGACCCCGGCAGTGAGGCATTTAAGTTTAGGATCGCAAACTAGCAGAGGAAGAGAAGACGTCTCGAGTCAGGTTTGGCCCAAACATAATCTTCGAAGAGAGACAGCAGCCATGCAGCCTGGCAAGTCGAGACCAGCGTGGCAACGCCAGGGCGAACACAGAGGCACGTCCCGGTGTGGTGGGCGTTAGGGGCACAGATCTGGGATGGCCATGCCACATCCATACAAAGGCGGCTGTCGGGGTGAGCCCCGGAACTTCACTCGGGAGAGCCCCCGGTCCGTGGTACGGTGCCTGATAGAACTCAGAACTGTCGGGAGAGTTGGAAACAGCAGCCTGGAGTTTCGAGGGCGTGATGAGCCCAGCTCCGAAGTTCAGTCACAACAGGACTCTCTGAGAAGACAGATTATGGCCTTCCCTGTGGCGCGGCCAGGCTTCTATTTGGTTTGCAGGTCAGCTCCGCACACTTGGCAATGTGCACACTTGGCACTCCGCATGTGCACACACATGCACACACTTGCACACACGTGCACACACGGCGTTAACTTCTATACGTGATGTCAGCCAGCTCTCTGGCCAGGAGCGAATGCGATGGTAGCGTTTTAAGCCAGGAAATGATATAACTCAGCCTTAGAGAAATATTAATAGACCTGAAGTTTATTGAAGAAAAGAAAACGTGTAGGACGGGGAACGTTGCCTGTTTATTAAGTCCTGCTGGCCTGTGAAAACATAAGCCCCAGGAGGACAGGGAGCTGCTCGGCCTCGTTTGCTGCTCCGTCCTTCGACCTGGCCGGTGTGAGCAGAACAGGAGGGGAGAAAGACTGAAAACGTGGACACGCAGATGAGGACAGCTGACGAGATGAAAGACCGGGTACCTTCTCGGGCTTGCAGGGAACTGGCGTGCTGAGGAGTTCGTGCTGAAGGAGGAGGCGCCGAGACCGCCCTGCCCCGCCCCTGCAGGCCCAGGCAGCCCAGTGTTTCCCGATCAGTGAGGGTCCTGGTAAGGGCTTTGGGGCATGTGTGGTCTGGTCACCTGAAACTGCCTGCATTTTGGGATGCAAGGACAAATTTGCATTACTCCGGAAGAAAGTCGCCCTCCCCTGGCATTACTCCGGCTCGGCCTGTCAGGGAGAGTGCTCTGTCTGTGCTGTCCGGTCCAGTCGCCGAGAACCACAGCGGCCATGGCTCAGTGGCAATGCTGCTAGTGTGACCGTGGAACTGAGCTTTACGTCCCATTGAACTGAACAAGCAATTATCCGTAATAGCCAAATGGTCTGTGTGCTAGCTGGACACAGATGAAGGACGGAGGGACAGAGAGCGAGGGGACCAGCAGGTAGTGTAATGGCTATAGCGCTGGACTCCCACATGGTTGACTGAAGTTCCTCAACCCAGTGGCTTAAAACTCATGCCAGGTATGTGTGCATGCATGCCCAAGATCCCAAGGAGAAGAGATTACAGCTTAGCTACCCCCAGGGGGTGATTTCTCACTTTCTGTGTCTCTGTCTCTCTCTGCCAAGTGCATGCACCCTATAGCAAAAAAGTCTCTACAAAGAAGAAAGAAACAGGGAGGAAGAAAACACATCGAAGTGGGGTTTGGTCACTCCACAATCCCGTCTCCTCCATTTCTCCACCCTGCCAGGATTATGGGCATGCACACACATGTGCCCGGCATGTTTTTCAAGCTGTTGGCCCAGGATTCAAACTGCACATGTGGGGGGCGACTCCCCCAACCATTAGGCTATGGGCCTGCTCCTCATTTAGTTTTTAAGGTTTTTTTTTTAAAAGAGTTACTTTAACTTATTTATGTTTATTTTTGTTTGACCAGAGAGGAAGAAAATGAGAGAGAGAGGGAAAGTGAGAAAGTAAGCCATCATGTTTAGGATTCGAACCACGGTCGACCATGTGGGAGTCCAGCACTCTTAGCCACCACGTCACCTACTGGCCCCAGTTTTTTAAGTTTTTTTAAAAATTTCTTCCATGAGAGCGAGAGACAGGCACTCAGGGCCAGACCAGTGGCCTGGTGGCCAGGAGACTGCACCCCACATGACCAGTAGCGAGGCTGGAGGCTTGGGAAGCACGCTGGGTGTGTGTGCTTGAAATCCCACCCAGGGGCAGGAATGGAGCAGATGGGGTCGTGGTGCCACCGGGCCCTCTCCCCTCCCTCTCTCTGTCTCCCCTCTACCCATGTAAACGTCTGCAGACTCGGGGTTCAGTCAGATTCAGAACCCAGTTCCGCAGACACTAGGCTGCTTGGTGGAGGGAGGTTGGGTGAAGAGCAGACGGAGCCTCCAGCCTTAGGAGGCGGCAGTCCTGGGGCCAGGCAGCCGGCCTTCGGGAGTGGTCCCGGGGTCGAACCCTGGGATGGAGGCCAGGAAGAACCGCGAGGACAGAACTGGGGATGCCAGTCACGACGGGGCTCAGGCCGGCCATGGAGGCGTGGTGGCCCTGCCACGCTCTGCAGTATGGGAGCCATGTGGGCAGGCCCTGGGTTGGCTCCTTGCCCCGTCGGCCTCGCACGCGTGTGTGCGCGCATGTGTGCCCCTTGTTCCATTGCACTTGCACGCGTGTGTGCCCGTGGTCCTGCTGGCTGAGGCCGGGCAGAACGGCAGCGGGGCCCCTTCAGTGTGCTCCCCACCCCTAGTCTCCTTCTTTCCTGGAAGAGAGAAACAATTGTTTACAGATAGGGACGCAGTTGTTGGGACTGGGGGCCAGGGCAGGGCCTGGGCGGGCAGCAGGTGCTCAAGCCAGTCCTCTCGTGCTGATGTTGGGGCCCCCTTCGCTGTTCTGGACCGAATCTCAGAATCAGGGCACCAACAGCCCAGGGCAAAGGTTATCATGCCCAGGGAGGGCCCCCAAGAGGACGGCAGGAGTGCACGAGCCCCGGCTGAGGTGGCTCATCTGTCTGGGTGGCCCTGGGGTGCTGAGCACTGCATGCTGAGCACGCGCCTGCGTTAAACCAACCGTCTTCACACCGCTCGGCCGCCTCGCACAGAAGCAGAGAGCTGGACGGGGGTGCGGGGACAGGGTCCCGGCCCTGCGTCTCTCTGCTCACTCACGTGCAGGCAGCCTCTGCAGAGCTGCGGAACCCCCGGGCTGGGCCGGGCCGGCATCACTCACCCTGCAAGCTGGGGCACCTAAGGGGGACGGGGCAGGTGGGAAGGCCCTGCAGGACGCAGGGAGCTGGGCAGGGCACCACATGCCCTGGACGGCGGGCTTTGTGGTTGGGGCCACAGGCACTCCACTGTCCAGAGAGGGACGGGGGTGTGGAGCAGCCCGCCAGCCTGTTCCTGACCCGGTGCTGGCTCTGGCCCTAGGACTGAAGGGGAACACAGGGCGTTTGAAATGAAGCGCCCCGACATGGTGTGGAGAGGGAGAAGCTCGAGAACTTCCTCGGAGCACTTCTCGGAGTGGGTGCCCTCGGGGAGGTCTGCGAGGGAAGGACAAGGCGGGAAACGCATCTCCTCTGGGTTCACAACGTACCTCAGTGCGCCCCGGGCTCCATCCGTGGTTCATCTGCCCCCTCCGACCCTGGCTCAGCTGGGCAGAGAGCTTGTCTTCATTGCCAGAGAGCATGTGCGCTCTCGGGAGACGGGCTGGGGGAAGCACCCAACGGGACGTGGTGACGCCACACCCCTCCTCCTCTCCCCATCCTGTTGGGATCTGCACATGCATGTGCACACACACACACACACACACACACACACACACACACCTTGTGTATTTCAAGCCACCGGGGCCGGGAGTCAAACTGTGGGCAGCCACGTGGGAGCCAGCTCCCTTAACCACTAGGTCACTGAGCCAGCCCCAGAGAAGGTTCTAATCACCACCTCCCAAAGGAGTGCGCTGGAGTGACCAGGCCTCTTCATTGCCCTCCAAAGGACAGGACGGCAGCCATGGTCTGCTCGGGCTATGCTGGGCAGGGCCGGGAGGAATTGTAGATGGAGCTGAGGACGGGCTGGGTCACCACCTGCAGGCTGGAACCTGTTCCCTGCCACAACCGAAGGCAGCTCCAACTCCAGGATGCTGGTCTGCAGGGCAGGGACACAGAGCGAGGTGCAGGCCCAGGTTAGAAGCTGACAGAGCAGACCAGACTGGGATCTCCGAGGGGACGCCCTCCCCATCAGGCCGTGGGCATCACAGAATCGCTCACTCATGTCAGAGGCAAAGTCCACCCAGAGCCAGGCTTAAGGGCAGGGATTGGGGGTGGGCTAGGTTTGGAGGGGACAGAGGCCCACGGTGACCTAGCTGTGCTCACGTGCCAGACCCCACACCCAGACGGGCTGCAGCCAGGTCCCGGAGACCCACTGTCGCGCTCTCCCGCTCAGGCAGGACAGTCGAGAGCTGAGTGCCCCGCTAGCCCCGGGTGTTCCGTGAGCGTGCCTCTTTAACACACAAGGCGCTTCCGGGCCTGAGCATTCCAGAGGACTCTTGTCAGGCAAGTCTGGGGACTCAGAGCTCCCAGAACTGGCCTTCAGCGCTGACTCTCGTCCCCTGCTCCCGGCCTCAGGGCTTCAGTTCAATAGGCCCGGAGCCAGGGGATCTTCATTTTTTTTTTTTTTACCACTTTTTGATTCATTTTAAAGTATTATTCATCCATTAAGTCACTACACACCATTTAGATTGTGAAGAGACTTTCTCGGCATGATACACACCTCAGTCAGGTGCTGGGTGATGGCCCACATGCAAACCCAAGCGTTTCAGCTGTGACCAGCAGGTGGCGCTCCAGGTCATGTTGCTGCAAACTCGCACCTAAAAAGTCAGACTTCACTCATGGAAGTAACTGGAAAAAGTAAAAAATGAACATAACTTTTTAAGCTCCCGAGAGGACAGATGTGGGTGAGATGACTATTCCTGTTGATGAAATCTTTCCAAAACATGAAGCTGCCTCTGGGCCCTGCAGCACGGTACTGTGTCCGGAATGGTTTTGGCCCCAGCACAGGACGGGGTATGGCAGGCGGCTCCCGGGGAAAAGGCTGGGAGAGCCCACAGTGGTCCGGGTGCTCTTTTCAATACAGTTCTTCTGAGTACAACCGCACCATGCACCGTGGAGTGTGTAACGTGTTACAGCTAAGTCTCATTCTAGTCCTCTATTTTTTGAAAGGTTTTTGCCTTAGAGCATGTGAGTTCACTGGAGAGACAGAGACAGTGTGAGGGGAACTGAGAAATCACCCCCCATGGGGGATGGCCACGCCACAATCCCTTCTCCACTCTCCTCCTGGGATCTTGGGCACGCACGCACACACGCCCAGAGTGATTTTCAAGCCACCAGGTCTGGGACTTGAACCATGGTTGACCATGTGGGAATCCAGCGACGAAACCACTGTGCTGTCTGCTGGCCCCTCCCATTCTAATCCTTTTAAAAAGGGGCTCCTAATGGAAGTAAGAGAGCGAGTTGGGAGGGAAGAGGTGACCCTGTCTCACAAATGAACCTGAGACAGACGGTTCTGTCAACCCCGCATGGTTCGTCATGGGATGAGACCAGATGACTAACTCAGCTTTGCCTTCTAAGGGAGTTATCTTGGTAGTACACTCATGGTGTTTTTTTAGTTACTGAAAATTTCAGATATATACAACAAAGAGTTTTATAATGTCTCCATGCACCCAACACCCAGCTTTCGTAATTATGAATTTACAACGACCCTGGTTTACTGTCATCATCTCTAGTACTTTTTAACAGTTTTTCCCTAGGGCACATGTACTTGCCGGACAGAGAGAGGCAGGGAGAGGGAAAGTTAAAACTCACCCTGCAGGGGGAGGCCGTGCCCCAGCCCCTTCTCCATTCTCCTGTGGAGATTTTGGGCACCCATGCACGTGTGCCTGGCATGGTCTCCAAGCCATCAGGTCCAGGACTTGAACCGTGGTTGGTCACATGGGCGTCTAGTGCCCTAACCACTCCTGCTGCCCCACCATCTCCAGTATTGTTTTAAAGCAATCTCACGCATGGGAACATCGAGCACCCCAGACCCTGCCTGCTGGCTACAGCCTCGTCGTTTGGGGCAGTGCGTGGGGGGCCCGCTAAGTGTGAGCGCTACTGAGTCTCACGTTAAAGACATATATCTCGGCCACAGAACATAGCTCCGGGCACCAACACCCTTGTGAACCGGCTCTTCTCTAGCTGTGGGCTCCGTGCATGGCCCAGTGGGCAGGAGCTCAGCTCCCGCGTGAGAAATGCTGCCCTGCGGGGCCTTCGGAAAGCTCACCGAGAAGCGGGGCAGCAGGAGGAGCTGACCTTGCTGCAAAGCATTTTGATCCTCCATGTGACCGGCTGGGTTCCCAGTCCCGGCTGAGCCGCGTGGCACCCATGCACAGTGAGAGGCCCGTTCTCTTCCCAGGGCCCGCGCGTTTTGCTCGTGAAGACTGCCGGCAAAGGCTCCCTAGGTGCTCAGAACCTTTAGATCGCTCTTTCCTCTTCAGAACAAACCAGGGTCAGGATTCAATCGCGGAGCTAGCAAGAGGCCAGGACTGCAGCGGTCCCACCTCTGGGCCAGTGGGGGACATAACCCCAACCGTGCAGTGCGGGCACTGTGACGAGGGGGCAGCTGCTGACCTCACTCCTCTTTCCAGGGGCGGGAGGCCGGGAGGCCGTGTTCTGCACCTGGCTTGTTGCTGTGACGTCATGTAGGGCAGTGACTCAGGCTGTGGCTGTTTGGTGGCCATTCTGGTCTCGTGATGACACTTAGGAGTAAATGCGTTTATTAATGACTAGCCCATGAGGCTGAGGTTGGAACCTGCTTTCTGGAATGCTCAAGGGGCAGTGTGAGAAGCTGACCAGGCACCTGTCTCTGCTGTCACCTGTGTCTCCAAAGTGTCTCTGCTCAGTCAGCCTGGACCCTGGTGACTAAGGGGACCTCATGGAACCATGTCTTGGGGACCATGTCCTTTCAGTTCTATAAAACCTGCAAGCTGGGGCCTTGAGTTCCAGAGCACCCTGGAACTGGAACAGCAAGGTAGGCTGTGTGGAAACCATGCCACAGCCCGCCCAGCACGGGCCTGCCACGGAAGCCCTGGCTTCCCACCTCATGGCCCCCCACCTCACTGCCCCCCACCTCAT